TTCCTGCAAAATTGAATAACCTCACATTTCCCACATTATATTCCATCGACCAAGTTTGTTCCACTCACTGAACCTGACTGTATCCCTCTGTGATGTACTTGTATCATCCTCACCACATGTCTTCTCACTTTATTTTATGTCAACTGCGAACTTGATATTTCGTTCATTTCTGCCATCCAAGTCATTGGTAAAGAATTGTGGTCCCAGCACTGATCCATGGTGCACACCATTGGTTACAGGTTGCCATCCTGAAAATGCCCCCCTTATCCCAGCTCTCCATCTTCTATTAGCCAATCCGCAGTACTATACTACCTCCAATACCATAGGCTCTTATTTTATTAATAAGTCTAAAGTGTGGTACTTTATCAATGCTTTCTGAAAATCCAATTCTATTGCATCCACTGGGTTTCTCTTTACTTATCCTTCTTGTTATATCTTAAGACAATATTTGCCTCATAGAAGAGATTACAATCCATTTGTTAATCAAATTAAAGGACTTGAAGGATTTTAGGGCAAACTCAACACTGACTACATTTTGTGGTGAATAAGAGAATTATGGAAAGTCCTGTGGAATGCTGAGATTAGTCATCAGCAATCACTAGCTAAGGTGTATGATTATCCGCCTAGGAAATTTCATGTCACTGGTCATGGCTTTTGTGTTTCCTTGTGTGGCTGATGAGCCTGATGCTCGAGCCATATTTCTGACCACACATTTAGCAGGTGTTTCCAGGAGGTGAAGCCTTGATATTGCTGGTATTCCTTCCTTACATTCATTTATCGTATCTCTTCTCACTAACGGGTGCTCTCAAAAATATGTTCCTTCATACAGAGTGTTCCTCCAAATCGGTTTCTTCTGAGCAAGGAACTCTCAGCTGTTGATGTCTATGTTGCATTTCTTGAAGAAGTCTATGAAGTGCTTCCTTATTCTTCCTCTCAGTTAAGTGCCTTAATTGAGCTGCGCAAAGATTTGCTTTCGCATTTGGAACCTCCAGCATGCTCAGTACGTGCCCAGCCTGATGAAGCTTGTTTTGGATGATCATGGCCTCGATGCTGGTACAATTGGTAACTTCAAGGACACTGATGTTAACATGCTTGTCCTGTCAGCTATTGTGAAGAATCTATGTCTAACAGCAGTGGTGATACTTCTCCAGGACTTCTCCAAGCCTATATGTAGTCCAAGTCTTGGAGCCATACAGGAGAGTCCGAATGACGACTGCGATGAATAGACCAGTCTTGCCATGGAACAGATTGGTAAAGGATTTGAGTCCTACTGAGGTTGAAACTAATTCATGAGGACAGTCTGCACTCAGACCTGGGACATTACAATTGTCAGTTATCTGCTTAAGCTGCACACATTCAGAGGAGATGTCTGACCGCAGTCCGGGAAGTGAGTAACAGTCAGGTGGAGAACTGTAAATACGCAGTCATGGGCCTGATTAGTCATGTCTAGGGGCTGCTCATCAGAGATGGTTAGATGCCTAGGGGTTGGTCCATTTATCATTCAAGAGGATTCTGGGGGGTGGCCTGTTGGGGTGGGGCTGGTAGAATCTTTGCCAAAAATGAGTGGGGAGTCTAAGGTGGGTGGGGTGAGGCAAGTAAACAAAGGCATTCACAGAGATAGGGACAAGGATAGTGCTGGGGGTCTCGAGGCATATGAAAGAATGTGGAACAGCTTTGGAGGCACATACTGACACAGGATGGGTGTTATTGGCAGTGACTACCTGTTGCCTCCACAAGGTGATTATAAAGGAGCAGGGTGTGTGGAATTCAGAGGGCAGGGGAGACAGGGAAGACAGTTGGATGCCAAGTTCAACATGGTGGGTGCAGAGAATGGGTGGAAATGGGCTGTCCAGGTAGAGTGAGGTAAAAGTGGATACAGAGGCTGGGGTGAACAGTGGAGGTTGTGGTTGGGGTGGGGGCAGTAGGGGCTATCAGATGACCAGGCAGAGCCTGGTGCTAACTGTGTCAACTATGAGTTGTGTTCCCTGCCATCACTTACCATTCTCCAAATTTGAAACACAACTAGTTAATGGCTGGGACGATGTCCAGGATGAGTAGAATAAATATCAGGTGAACGCGTGGGATCTACATCTGTGGAATGCTGGGACATTGAAGCGTTATGTGCATGAAGCAGTCATTTGCAAACTCCAGCTACATTTAATTTTCAGTCAATTCATCATCCATTTGCTATGTCCATGCACAGTAAGGGTGCTTTGGGGTCAGATGCTGGTCAAAGGCAATTTGCTTACAAATTGAACACTGGCATCTCAAAGATGCTGAAGTAAGCAGCAACGACTTAAAAAGAGGTTAATGCTGGCCAAAGGCAAACCATTATTTGTGCAACTTCCAATAGTGCTGTGGGAGGCACGGACCGCTGTTTCATCAGTGTCATGTAAGTTTAATGATGGTCTGTACTGAGTGTCATGAAAAGCTGAGTGGTATGGGTCTGCAATGGGAAGATTATTAGAGCACAGCACATTCTCCATTTTGACGTAATATGCTGATCACTGAGCAAGCAAGGCACCTTCACCAAGTTGCTGCACGTGCTGAGGCTGAAGTTGAATGAATGATAGAGACCTTGTTGTTGAAGTGCACTATTTGGAGAAGTTTGTTCAGCCCTCATCAGCAGGATATGCCACCAATGATCTTCTGAGACTTAAGAACCTCTTACACTCCTTGTGTTCTCAATGTAGGTCATTTCTATTGAGAGTCCTTGCTGTGTCTGTTTTCCAAGGAGGTGAAGTAGGATGCAGGAAGACCAGGGCTGGAAGCAGGATGCTTGGGGTCCACAGAAGGCTCCAAGCTTATTGGCCTTGACTTCCTTTCTGCTGGGGATGGGTAAGGCCCAGTGTTGATGCAAGCTCCACATGTCTTGGGACATTGCGACAGAACTCTCCCAGGTGCTGGAACACGACCTGAAAGCTGTGAGAGTTGGAGGCCGTCCTCTCCCAGTGGCTATGAACATTACAGCTGCTTTGAACCTGTGTGATTGGCTTCTTCCAAGGAGTGACAGGTGACCTGTGTAGGACCCCTCCATCACACATCAGAATGGTGACCAATGTCACTTGTGCAAGATCATACCAGGTCATCATGTTTCCCAATGACCAGGTCAGTGCTACAGCCTGGGCAGTAGAATTCAGGAACGTAGATAGCTTCCCACAGATGCGGGGTGCCATCACTAGCAGAAATGTGACACTGAGAGGGCCAAATCACAATGCTGAGGAATTCATCAATAAGAGAGGTTTAGTAAGGTTTCATTCAACTAACGTTCAGGTGATCTATGATCACTGTTACCACTTCCTATAGGTGACACAACTCCTACATTCTGGAGCATTGTCATGTACCTGGTGCATTTAAGGATCCAGGTGCTTGACAAGTTTGGTTCCTAGGACATGCGAGATACTCACTTCAACCATGTTTGCGATGCTGTTGCACAACTCTTTGACTGATACAGAGCACGGGTACAATACTGCCCGTGTTTTGACCAGGGCTGTGGTGGAGCAGATGATTGTGGTGTGAGGCGGGGTTTTTCCAGTAGAATCTACACAGTGTTGTATCACCCTAGCTTGCAGTGCTTTTCACACGTGCAGCTGGCAACAAAATAATGTGCTGGATGCTGAGGAACTGGGTGAACAGGAGCAGACCTCCAAGGAGGAGGACAAGGACAAAGGGGACAAAGAAGCTCTCCTTTCCATGACTAACATTAGGCTACATTAGGTGCTACAATCCAGACAGGACCTGATTGTCATATGTTTCCTGTAGGTGGGAGCTGGGTACACCAGACCATCAATGACTGTAGACTAGTTATTGGTTATGATGCCAGCATTTTGTATTCATTGTGGGGTAACCTGCAGCCTCTATTTTAGCTTGTGTTCGCTTTTGGTGGTTCTGAATAATGGTTCATGTTTGGACTAGTCCATTTGCTTACATGTATATGATGTTCTTCAAATGGACAATGACCAGATGCGGGTCAATAGTGATCATTTGGGACAGAGTGGCAATGACATACAGAGGATGATTAGATGGGATGTAGCTATGGACAAGGAAACTGGTGCTTTAACAGCGACAAGGGTGAGAGAATGGTATTAAACGAGGGAGTGTCAGTTATATCAACAATGTACCATGAGCAGCGTGGCTTTGTGGCTACTGTGCCATTATGTGACCAGTGAGGGACAACATCAGATTGCCAATGTTTTTCTGGGTGCACAGCATCCTTTTAGAGATGGCATAGGTGCAAAAAATGCTGATTTTTTGGCAGATATCCGGTGAGTGGCGAGTTGCTCTGGGAACAGTGTGTGGTATAATGGAAATAGGATCAGACATGAGGGATGCCAGCGGACAGAGTAGATAGTTAATGAGACAGATTTGGTAAGATACAATGAGGAATCTCGCTGAACCTTATCCAAGTATCACTTGCAAAAACTTGATTACTTAGCCAAAAAAAATTAGATCTAATCCTTACTTATCCATTTTGGTTGGCTAAATGCACTGAAGGAAATCAAATGATGATAACCTGCAGCTGTTTGACCGCTGTGATACTACATTTGATACAATGATATCCGGTGATAATCACTTGGGATGCATTTTATAGCTATGTGATTGCTGTTTGGTGCAATTGATATGAATATCTCAATGATTGTATTTTAGTACTGAGATCAAATAATGCCTGAAAAGTTGTTTTTAAAAGAGAACAAAATATGTTGAAACAAAGGATGTTACAAGATGGCAAACCTTTCTGGTAGAGCTTTAAAGATTATTATTAAATGAGCATGGAACCAACGTTGCTCTTCACTGACTTCTTTTCAAAAGGAGAGAGAGAACTCTAGCTTGCTTCAAGGAGAAGCATTTACTACTCCTTTTCATTTTTTGAAAATTAATTTGACTCTGAATTGTGAAAATTTGTCTGAGCATGCTCTTAGAAGTGTTTTCTTCATTTTAACAGATCTATCATGAGTTAAAATGACTCCGTAATAAGGATGCCATTTGTTTGCTTATTGTAGAGAACGAGATGACTTGATGAATATGCTGGCGACTTTGCGAACCAATATAAATGAAATGCAGGCCAGGGAAGACTCTGCATGTCGGCAAGTGAAACAAGCTACGGAAGTAGCAGAAGAAGCCAATTTGGAAAAAATACAGGTATTAAGAAGATAAAGTAGGCATAATTCAATAGATAAAAACTCCATTGTTCTAAAATTGAAAAGGCTGGAAATATTCACCAGGTTTGGCAGCGTCTGAAATGAGAAACAGAGCAACCGTTTCAGCTAATTGACCTTTAATCAGAATTGTTGTACCTAATTTGAGTGTGTCATGGGAAGTGCAAAGAAATAAAGACTTGTACTTTATAGTGCCTTTCACAATGTCTGACTCAACAAAATATTAAACAATATGATCTGATAATTTAGAGCAAATATATCTGCATATACAATATTATTACATGTTTCACATTAGTTAAATTATATAGTTATTTCTATTTAAATAGAAAATAAAAACTTTTTAAAAAATTACTTTAATTTCTTCCTTTTGTAAAAGCTCAAGGGCATTAATTTACTTATGAGGAAAATGTAATTGGGAACAATAGGCTCCCCATGCTGTAAGTATTTTTAAAAAAGAACCAATTAACTTGTCAACACTTTTCTCCTGTAACAAATAAAAACAGAAATTGCTGGAAAATCTCAGCAGGTCTCGCAACATCGGTGAAGTGAATATAGCACTAATGTTTTGAGTCCAGACCTTGGGTTCTGAAGGAGGGCCGTTGGACTTGTAATGTTAACTATGTTTTCTCATCACAGATGCTGTCAGACCTGCTGAGTTTCTCCAGCAATTATTGTTTGCATTTCTGATTTCCAGCATCTGCAGGTCTTTATTTTATTTCACTTTGGAGTCTGACTTGTGGAGTATTATCATCAGCTGGGATCACAACAAAAGTAAAGGGTGATGAATGTTATTTCATTGTTTCATGAGCCAGCAAGAAAAAAAAAACACCATTCAAAGGGACCTCACAATTCAGGTAGACATTTAAAAAGCTTCTTTTCAAAGGTGTTGGTAGGAACATTGAGTTTTGTTTGGCACAATTCATTGCTAAAGCAGTGTTCATAAATTCAATTATTCAAAAAGCAGGAATACTGAAAGGTGCAAGACTTGAATGGAGAAAAAAAGGCATAGTCTTGACGTCTCTACCTCATTTTCCTCCGGTAAGACACTTCTTCAGATCTACCACTTTAACCAAGTGCCTTGGGACGTCTTATAATGTTCAGGAAACTGTTGTTGTTATGAACAGCAGTATCATTTTGAGCTACACCACTATTATTTCACACTACAAAACATGATACTTTTTTCCTTTGGATTACATTACTGTACCCATTTCATATTACAATATTACTGTAATTTAACTGTAAACTTTTCTGTATAGTGTTTGGGAACTTTAACCCAGTTTTTCAAATGGACCTCACATGAAACTATGATCTGGCTCTATTCCCAAACTTATGTACAATGAAACAGCTTGTCTTGTTCTGTTTAGTTTCAAAGGACAGTTTGATTTTCCTTTTCTCTAGGCTCTGGTCCATTGTGAGCAGCTGAAGAATGAGATGTTGCGTCAGAAAGAACGGCTAGAAAGGGAGTTCGCTTCTCAGCAAGAAAAGATCGCAATTGCGAAGAAAGCTATGCATGAAGAAATGAGGAAGGAAAGAGAAGCATTGGCATCAAAGGTACAAAAGGAGAATGATGCTGTTTTACTTGTTTAAAAAAATTACTGTTTGCTCAACACACAATGATAGTGCTTCCAGAAAAATGGAATTAAGTCTTTTTAATCACTTTTTGTAGAAACTGGATCGTCATTCAAACATCTGATATTAAAAGTTGAAGCTATGAGATGATAGAAAATTCTGTATGTCAGTTATCATTTGAAATATTACTGATGTTGTTTCTGTCACGGCCAGTAGGTGGGGATGGTGGATGGTAAAGTGGTACTCAGTTCTGTGGAGCAATCTTGATAGTACATTTGTCAGAAAAACTGTTGAACAGTGGACATAACTAATTTTATTGCAACAAACTCCTGCAGCTTTGAAACAACATGACCCATTGTTATAAGATTGATATTGGTACATACATTATGTTTCCTAACCAAATTACAGATTTAACTCTTTTTAAAAAAAAAAGATTTTTTCTTACTCAGGCTCATTGACTTCCTGTTGATTTTGGTAAGGCTTGAGAACTTTAAGCTTGTTCTCAAGCTGGTGTTGACTATTTCAGCTATATTTTGAATTAATAGAATGGATTCTGTACTATCTCTCTCTACTTCAGAAATGTTTAATCCTGTCATATTTTCCTATTCACAATGTAATGTTCTGAACATAAGTCTCTTATCCCATGAAGTAAAAGTTGCATTTTTATGCCCTTGTGTACCACTTTCATATTGTGATGTTCTGAGAGAGGGAAGAGAAAGCAAATGCTTCTTTCTTCCCCTAGATTCTTATCCAACTTTATACTGGCTGCCTCCATTAGGAATTGCAAATAATCCTAAAACAATCCACCTTAGGTTTGTGAGATAGTAGGAACTGCAGATGCTGGAGAATCTGAGATAACAAGGTGTAGAGCTGGATGAACACAGCAGG